TACACCAACAATATTACAGCAACATAACTTTAATATAACATGTTATATAAAAAGTCTAATGTTTGCATTACTTTTTAGTTGTGCAATATTTTTATACACAAATATGAAATTATATTTTAGGTGTTTCTTTTCTCGTGTTTCTCGTATATATATATTTATTACCATTCAGCTATGTACATTAAATAGATAGCCAAGAAGGGGACTTGGTTTACATAAAAACAACTAAATCACACATTCCGCACATCATCCATTCTTTCATCCTTTTCCATTCTTCCATACTTTCCTATATCTACATCACATTAAATTCTCCTCTCTCTTTATTCTTTCCTTTACCCCTTTTCACTTTATCCTTTTTCTTTTTCTTTTTCTTTTTCTCCTTCTCTTTCTTTTTCTTTGATCTTACTCTCCCTTTCCCTCCACATTCTTTTTAACACTTTCCCTTTAATCTCATCGATTTCATCATCCCATATCCTTTCTTTTCCCCTACCTTCCATACTACCATCTCCTCGAACCATCTCTTTCCCCATTCACATGTATACATATAATGATTCATCTCATCTTGCTCCTTCCCACACATTACACACCTTCTCTCTTCCTCTTCTAACCAATACTTATTTTTTAACTCCAGATTACCACACCTTAACTTAATAAGCACCCTCACTTCTCCCCCCGCCTTTGATCCCCTCCTTATCAAACTGCTCTTTTCCAAATACTTATGTCCCTCCCCTATTTTCCTTATATCTTTATACCTTTTATTATACTTCGCCTCCCTAATTTTACTTTCTATCCACTGTTTTTGCACGTCTCTTTCTCTTTTTACAATCTCTCCTTCCATATCCCACCCTCCTTCCATTCCCTCTTTAACTCTTTCTACACCCCATCCATTCCTATTATAATAACTTTCCCTTTCCTTCCCATATAAATCTTTCCCTCCACTTTCTTCCTTTTCTTCCCAACACTTTTTAATTAGTCTCTCTTTACTACTGTTCCTAATTTTTTCTTCATATCTTTTCGCCCTTATACCCCATCCTATCTTCAATTTTTCCATTCCTAGTTCATACATAATTATATACCTCGGCGTACAGAAATCCAATCTAAAAATCCACCTTACCTAATCCATCATGATTCTTTCTAATTTCTCTTTTTCCTCCCATCCCCATACTTCTACACCATACGACATCACACTTTGTATTAGATATCTAAATAATGTCCATCTCCTTACAAAATCATCTCTGCATATTCTTTCTCCCAAACCCCAAACCTTGTTCAAAGCTACTTTGCCCTTCTTATACAAATCATTTATATGCGCCTTATAATTCCCTGCCTGATTAAACGTAAATCCTAAGTACTTAGTGTTTCTCGTATATAAAATGTGATATTTTAATATATGCAAGGATCGTTATCACGATATTATAAAATTAGAATTCTTACAAAAAGAGTCTAATCATAACTTTATTTTGTCAAAATATTGTGAGAGAGAAAGAAAGTTGTAGGTTAAAATTTGATTACTGATACAACATTGTATCAATATTAATCGCATTGTTGTTATATTATAGCAAACATTTACCAACAAATGTCATAACATTTCTTGAACGATATAAAAGTATATTGTAAATAACATCTACCAAGTTATTGTTACAGCGCATCGGCATTATCAGTTCTCGTACGATCGTTGAGGTGTTAAGCATTGAACAACATGATTTAAAAATGGGTGACTGCCTAACACAGGATCGAAACCACGCGAGTTTCACGAATAAGTGAAATGACACGAAAAATGAAATGCCAGTTTTTTTAATTATTTAGACAAAATAATCATACAATATCACTTATCTGAACCATATTAATGAATAAATCGTTGAAATTTAACAAAAAAATATATGTGTTTGCTGGGACATTACTTAGTTATATGATATTAATTGATGTTCCTATATAACTATAATATAACATGACCCATACAGCACAGCAACCTTGCAGCATCATTGTTTTGCAATATTATGACATTGCAACAACGTTGCAAAATGTTGCTACAATGTTACTGCAACGTTGCAGCAACGGTAAAATGTCCGCTTGCAGCATATAACAACGCAACTGTGTAGCAACATTGCAATGCAATATATATGTAATATTATTAATATGTTTTATTATACAAAGTAAAATCCCAGATAACACTCTTACAGGAATATCATACTACAAGCCATACCCAGCAAACACATATATACAGGGTGAGGAAAAAGTATGGAAAACCTGAAAAATCTAAAAAAATATAAGTTTTATAGAAAAATGTTTCAAATAAAAGTTGTAGGACTTAAAAAGATGTATTCAATAGTCTCATCAGTTTGACCCTGGCTGACGTCGTTAAGGTGAAGTCAAAGTCACCTTGAATTTTTTTAATGGAACGCCTATTTTTTATTGCATATTCTTATAATCCTTCTCAATACCTTTTCAAAGCACTATAATTTTATTCATTTTGGGTCAGCCGTTTACTTCTAGCATTTTTTTTGATTGGTTATTTTGATCATAAATACGTAGTAATCATGATAGGTGATATGATATTAAAAACTCTACGTCTAAGCCTTTGACTATATAACCATGGACCGCTAGCGGCGATTCTAAGCGTCTGTCAACATCTGTAGCGCCGCCAGGACCAAACAACAGCAAAAGAAGGAACTCAGTAGAGCAAAACAGAGTTAGCAACATAAACGCTTCTAATATCCGTATATCATATGGTGATACATATTGGAAAGACCTAATAATATAGTAGAAGTAATAAAAAGAATTAGACTTTCTTGAAAACCACAAATGCTTTATAACAAAATTAATTATAAAAAATTATGTTAAAATTGTTATGAATTATGAGGGAAAGTTAATGAGCCAAAAATATCAATATATCAGACATAATTTGACCAAAATTATTTTATTTCAAGGACAATAATATACCATCATTTGGGGTAACTTTTATATCGCTGATATGAAAGTTCTACTTCTATCCGTTTAATGATGCCACATGTTTTTGTAAGCCGTTGCAAATTGTTCAAAGTTACCCCGGTGTTCCAAGTTACCTCAAATGGCGGTATTTTAAATAATGTTTTAAAAAATTTTGAACGTTCTTTTTATAATATTATATATATATTATATAAATATTAATAAATATATATATATATATATATATATATATTTATTCATATATTATATATCTCTTATTATATAAATATTATATATTCTTATGTAATATAATACATATAAATTTGGTATAAAATTATATAAATATCTTATTTTGTGTTTTTATATTTTCCTTGCAAATCAAATTTTTTTTGTTACTATAAAAATTGTTGATTTTTATATTATAGCAAAGTTGTATAACTTTTTTTTTAATGCAATAATTTATTTGAAGAAAAAATGAAAAAGTCTGTTATTGACGATTAAAGAAATATCATAATAATTTTTCATGTATTTTAATGATAACTGTAATTTATAATCACGGACACATACACAAAATATCTTTCACATGGTAAAATAGAAATCACAAGCATGTGATAGTTTACGTAATTGCCGTTGTTTGGTCCTGGTGGCGCTGCAAATGTTGGCAGACGTTTTGCTGCAGACATAAGATAGCGGCTAGCGGATCATGGTTATATAGTCAAAGGTCTAAGCTAAAAGCTATAAATGCTATAGCTAAAAGCTATAAATGTGTTTTGAGAATATGACGGGAGCGTCCCGATTGACCACGGTTTTTTGGACACAACCAACTGATGAAAAGAATTATCTAGTGAATTACTAGGTCAAATCAATCATTACAATCTGTGTCCAGTCGTATCGTGGTCAATCGGGTCCCATCCGTATATGACCAACGTTAGAGATGCAACTTTAGCAGAGCTTCGTTCTTTTAGCAGCAGCGCTATAAATGTGCTGCTAAAAGAAGATTCAGAATATGGGCCAATCTCACTAGCTTAGGATGTCGTTACGGAGATTTAATGACACTGTAACGAAAAATGGTATTCTGTAAATTTTCTTGACGATAAATATCGTTACAAGTATCGATAAAATATCGAATTTTGTCGTTAAGATATCGAGGAGTATGGAACCCCTCGATAAGCAATAACGACAATATAATTAGGTACAACGATGTTCCAAGTAGTAGGAAAGTGCGGAAGTGTATAAGTGTAATATATTCGCTTGTTGAGAAAAATCATAAAGAAAAATAATTCGTGGGCAGTTACACTATAACAAAAATGAAATATTGTAAGTAAAAGTGTGTTTTATAAATTTCATAATGTTGATTAATATAATAAATTAATAGGTTTATATATATATATATATATATATATATATATATATATATATATATATA